CTTCCCCTCTATTATAATGACCGCAGCCTTCTTAGCATACGGAGCGGACCACCCCACCCACCAAAAGCTCCCCACGTTATCGCAGCAATCAGCGGGAGACTCCCTCCCTCTCCCCCTCATTAGGGAGGGTCCCCGTTTTGAAGGCGGATACCGGCCCGGATTCCGAACTATACCCGAAATTTCACCCCGTCAATTCTTCCCGGGGGGAAACTTCCCTCCGTCAAATCTCCCCCTCGCTTCCTCCACGGCGGCCTTGTTCTGCTCATCACGTGGGTCCGGAGAGCCACTCACACGCTCTGTTGGCTGTCGGTCAATCGCTCAAGGCCTCCGCTCAGAATACGGAACCGCATCGGATGCCATCGCGACGAAAGTGAATCTCGACAAAGAAAGCAGATCCGAGGCGGGCGAAACGCACCCTTCGACGCAGGAATGTCCCAAATCCACCCGAAGCCGGACCTCCTTGGCCTTCGAGCCGAGGCGACGGCGGTACGCGAGGGCGTTGGCGAGGTGAGCCAGACGCAGGTGGAGTGTGACGTCAATCTGAAGAGGAGAGCAGTCGTGATCGTAAAAATTTTCACGACTCCTGCAAAATTTTTTACGACTCCGACAGACCGTAAAAATAGAAGCGTCCGCTTCAATTTTCACGATTTGCCGGAGTCGTGAGTTTTGTAGTGTCCTGTTTGGACACCCCTTCAAACAACCCGCTGCGCAACACTGAGGTGCTTTTTCACAAGTTTCCAACGGACTGGAAAATGGAGAAGGTGTGGGTGAACGCTGTTCGACGAGTGGACTTTGAACTTCGGCTTTTACGCGCCCGAGGAAAAAAGAACGAAAAAACAGACGTGTACAGCATAGCACACATGTGTTCGGGCGCCGCAGCCCGCGCCGGAGAGCCTCAAAGAGGTTTACTACGGTTGATCGAAGTGCATTTCATCGAAGCACGTTATAGAGAATGGGCACGTTTAATCGAAACACGGTTTAGAGAAAGCAGAGCCTCAGTTTAGAGAAATGCCATGTATCGAAAAGGGGACGCTTTTAAAAAAAAAAGGCTTTCCTACTTTTCGCGTGTATCACTGGTGCGCGTGTTAACCCATGCGACCGCTGCGCTCCCGCCGCTTGGCGGCGGCAGTCTGCGGCGGCTCATTACAAAAATGTTAACGTGCCTGATTTACCCATACACGCCGCTTCGCGGCGGCCGAATTCGCTAAAAGGAGGCTCATCGCCATTTTTTCTAAACTGGGTTCTCTCTAAAGGCATTCGATAAACGGGGGTCGGTCAAACGGCGTTCGCTAAAACGAGCTTCTCTAAACCGCACGCCTCCGCCTCAAAGCTTCGTGTCTGGGACTGACCCGCAGCGCGAAAGCGAGAGGGCCTCCAGTACTGTACGTCACTGGCAGCGCAGCGTAGAGCAACGCCGCTCTATCCACGGAGCCCCGATGAAAATTTAGGCCTAGCGACGAGCACGGAAGACCGCACACACGACGACAGCAGCCGAGTACGGCACCGAACGAATTCACTCGTTTTCTAGTCGCTAGCTTTTGGGTATACAAGCGACGAGTACGGCATAGCGCACGCACGGCGGCGGCCGCCGAGTACGGCACCGTACGAGTTCACAGGTTTTCCAGTCGTTTGCTTTTTGGTATACGCACTAACTCTTGCTACATATGCTGGATAACTAACTACCACGTATACAGAATTAAAACAAAATCAGCTTACCTCCTATCTTTAGACGGCTAGCGCAAAAGAAGTAGGTGCCGTTCGGCCTGCGTACTCGTTGAACGAGAACGATTCCGACGTCACGTTCACATAGCAGCTGATTTCCAGTGTTGCCGGGGCCTCGAGCGGCTATTTTCGGTTTTGTTGGCCGCGCCCCAAACAAAACTTTGAGGCGTCGATATCTTTAAAACTATGCACAATAACGAGAAAAAAATTACACCTTGCAATTCAGGGACGCTGACTGCACTAAAAACAGTCATAATCCCAAAATCGAAAGTATGAACCGGAGTTGCCCTTTAAGTTGCACCGGACTATAGAAGTCCTGTGTTCGAAGCCCCACTCTCGGGCGAACCGATGGAACTGACTTCCAGCCGCACGTTGAAATTGTGGTCCGTTGTCACTGAACACCGCTTCAGGTGTTCCATGTCGTGCGAAAACTGACTTTAAGTGTGTTATTACACAGCTCGAAGTCATAGAGTTCAAAAGTGCCATCTCTGGATACCTCGAGTAATAGTCTGTAACTACAAGGCAGTTCTTTCCTGACAGATAAAATAGATCCATCGCGACCTTCTGCCAGGGTCGCTCTGGAAACATCGATGGCCTCAAAGGCTCGTGTCGGTTGGACGATTCCTTGATGCATGCTGAGCAACTGTGTACCCTGTTCTCAATCGCCGTTGAGATGCCGGGCCACCATACAGTCTTTCGCTCGAGCTCTGCATTTGGTGATCCCTTTATGTCCCTGGTGGAATTTCTGGAGGATATCAGGGCGCATGGCTAACGGGATAACGAGTCTGCATCCTCTCACAAGTACTCCATCTCGAAGTGCAATTTCTGACCGATGTTGCCAGTACTTTTTACAGTTGACAGAAACTTCTTTCCGGCTGGGCCACCCTTCTTCACTGTAACCTGCGAGCTGTTTGCATGTAGTGCCCTTGGTCTGTTTTAGAGCGCAGCTCTTAGGCGCTCGTTTCCGGCTTGAGCGGCGTCGCCGTCAGCGTAACCGCGCGGTGCATCATGGGTAAATTTCCCCGCTAAATCTAGCGGAAAAAATTTCCCCGCTAAATCTAGCGGAAAAATTTCCCCACTAAATTTAGCAGAAAAATTTCCCCGCTAAATTTAGCGAAAAAATTTTACCGCTAAATCTAGCGGAAAAATTTCCCCGCCAAATCTAGCGGAAAAATTTCCCCGTTAAATCTAGCGGAAAAATTTCCCCGCTAAATCTAGCGGAAAAGTTTCCCCGCTAAATTTTGCGGAAAAATTTCCCCGCTAAGTCTAGCGGAAATATTTCCTCGCTAAATGTAGCTGAAAAATTTCCCCGCTAAATCTAGCGGAAAAATTTCTCCGCTAAATTTAGCGGAAAATTTCCCCACTAGATCTAGCGGAAAAGTTTCCCCGATAAATCTAGCGGAAAAACTTTCCTGCTAGATTTAGCGGAAAATTTCCCCGCTAAATCTAGCGGAAAAATTTCTCTGGGGGGACACGTGACCCAAGGGATCACGTGGCCCCCCGCCGAGGTCACGTGACCCCTCCCCCCCGAGGTCGTGACCCTCAGTACCCTTCCCTCCTCCTCCTCAAGAGCTGTGCTCTAATTCAGCGTTACAGGGAGTTGTAAACGGCTTTCATTTTTTGTTTGATTTCTTGAAATCTTCTCCGTCGCAGGAAGGCCTGTAATCAATCCCTTGACGTGTGCGGCCACTTCTTGTTCCAGGTTGGGGTCTCCTGTTTCCTTTATAGGCTGGTGGGACAATGTGCCTGCGGCAATCAGCGCTTTTCCTGGAATGTGTTTCATCACATATAAGAATCTCATCATTCTCACCTTCATTCTTTGAAGTCGAACCGTGATGTCTGCTAGGTTCTTCGACGTAAAGATCGGCACAAGCGGTTCCTGGTCGGTTTCAATCTCAATGTGAAGACCATTTAACAAAATCTTGAAACCTTTCGCACGCCCAAACTACCGCCAGGCCCTCCTTCTCAACCTGTGCATACCTTCCTTCTATCTCTGTGAGTGTTCTTGACGCATATGCAACCGGTTGGTAAAATCCATCTGTCTGAAGCTGACGAAGCACAGCTCCCAAGCCATATGATGAAGCATCGGCAGAGATCACCGAGTGTTTTCCTGGGTCAAGCAGCTTCAGCACAAGACTCATGGTCAGCGCACGCTTGCGTTCATCGAAGCTTCTCTGCTGTTCCGAATCCCAAACCCAGTGGCCCTTGGAGCTCAATAACCAATTAAGTGGGTAGGCAATGAGTGACATGTTCGGTATGAACTTTGTCAAATAATTGAACATGCCTAGAAAACTTTTCAGCTCACGAACAGATGAAGGAGGCTTCAAATCCACAATGGCCTTAACTTTGGCACTGTCTGGACATATTCCTTCACAGTCGATGAAGGGACCCAAGAACTTTACTCTTTGGATGCTGAACTCACACTTGTCCGGAGTGAGGGTCATTCCTTGAGCCTGAAGACATCCTAGGATACGCCGCAGTCTGTCATCATGCTTTTGTTGAGAGTCGGCATAAATGAGCACATCATCCATGTTGCATACCACACCTTCGAGACCACTGAGGATTTGCGACATCTTTTGGAAAACTTCTGGAGCAGATGATATTCCAAAAGGCAGTCTTATAAACTTGAATCTTCCGAAGGGCGTCATGAACGTTGTTAAAGCGTAAGACGCCTTGGCAAGCTCAAACTGCCAAAATCCACAATTGGCATCAATTTTCGAAAAATGGCGTGCTCCAGCAAGCTGTCCAAAAACGTGTTCTCCTACAGGAAGTGGGTGAACTTCTCTTTCGACATATTTGTTCAGTTCAATCAGGTTTACACATATTAATGACATATCTGTTGGGTTTTCTCACTATCACCATCCCAGAGCACCATTCAGTTGGCTCTTCTACAGGCTTAATTATTCCCATCTTGACAATTTCCCCTAGTTTCGTTTTGGTCTTATCGAGAAGTAGAATGGCCACTCTTCGAGGTGTCATCAGCGCCACTGGTTTAGCATCAGGTCCCAGTTTGATCCTGTATGTAATCTTGACGTGGCCCCAACCCAGAAAATAACTTAGGGTATTTTCTTTCTGGGTCCACAGTGTTGCCCCCCGGGGCGCCAACTTGATCAAGACACTAACGATGCCCAGTTGCTCACTTGCATCCCTCGATAGAAGTGGCTGTTCTAGCTCTCCTACGACGTAAATGTTGGTCTTGAAGGTCTTCTCTTTGTAGTGAAGAGTCTGATTCAATACACCAAGAACAGCCAGTACATTCTTATTTGGACCTTTCAGGATTTTCTTGGGGCTCCCTAGGGAAACATCCTTGAAAGAGTCTTGGTACATCCTGTCAGGAATGACGGTGACATCAGCACCGGTGTCGACTTTGAAAGTTACGGGATTGTCTCAGATGTCGACCATGACTTTCCATCGCTGTTCATCTAACGACGCCACGGAGCCAAGAAGTGCCGCCTCAGACGTTGTTACTTCCCCGAGGGCACCAGAACTCCTGCAAACCCGTGAGTAGTGCTAAAGTTTCCTGCATTTGTTACAGGCTGCTTTTCATGCGGGGCACTTGTCTTTTTGATGGTGTCTGTATCTGCACTTCGGGCATGTTTTGTCATGAGTTGGTAAACCAGACCGAAATAGAGTTGCTTCTTCATTTCGTGTCTTCCCCTTCCGTTGACTTGCCTTTTTTTTTAAGACTCTGTCAATGTTTTCACTCGGGGAATTGTGGAGAGTAACTTGCTGTTTCTTGACAGCTTCGGACTGTTGAGCCAGGTTGGTAGCCTTTTCGAGTGTCAGTCCTGCATCCAGTTGCATTTTCTCCGACAGCACTTGCTTCGTTCGTTTTGACAGGTCGCCAAGCTCTGCGAAAAATCCTTCGGGCGAACAAAACGGTGAGCTTACAGAAGACTGATTAGTGTGTTCCCGTGTCTCCGACTCGTGTGCTTACCGCGTTCAAAAAAGTGGTCCCTTAATTTCCGCCTGACGACGTCAAAGAAGTGTCACGCTGTCGCCGGTTGCGATCCTGGCGGCGTCCCAGCAACTGGGGTGGATGTGGCAGATGCCTGTTCTGCTGCAGGTCGCTCCAGTGTGGCAGTCCACGAAAGCTTCGGCAGCTAGAAGTCAGGACGCCGCGACGACAGCGACACCCGCGTTCGCGCGTGCTTTTCGCTAGCATTTCTACGACCAACTGCCAGGATCGCGACATCCGACAGCAGGACACTCCGGGTTTTGTAACATTGTTTGTTGCCACATCGGGATCACTTTTGATGTATGGACGGGATAAAATACTAAACACACTAGTCGGAGACACGCTCCAGGCACCATCATAATACAGTTGAACCTCGATTTAGCGAAGTCACCGGGACCCCCTAATTATTTCGTTAAATCGGGAACTTCATAAAGTCGAGAAAGACATTCTTCGGGTTAGGCTGCGCGGGGAATCCCAATTTGTTTGTTAAATCGGGAAACTCGTAAAATCGGGTTACGTTAAATTGAGGTTCAACTGTATAATAAAGATAAAGACGCCATCTTTGTTTTACAAAAAAAAAACCTGCAACACGCAAAAAAAAAGAGATGAAAAAAAAAATGCTATTAGTTCGGCACATCCTGGATACTTTTATGTAACATTGTGAAATCAAAGCTTCAAATATATTTTTACATATTTTTATTTGGTTAAGTTAAACCCAGCAAATTGTTTTGGTTTAACCATATTCAGCTGCGCAGTAAAATAGTGTGCTTCGGCTTTTTAGCTTTGCCTCCATTGCCACAGAAAGTTGTCCCCGAGCAGTGTGCCTAGTTTTAAGAGTGTCTCCAACTCCACGATCGATCGGGGTCACGTGATTTATGGGTCGCGTTTGCAATCCAAGCTGCGAGGAGGAGGAAAAGCATTGATCGTTCGTCTGCAAGATTCTCCTGGAAGGTCAATGAGCTGTTGCGTGACAACAAAAATAAATGAAGCGAATGAACTGGAAGGGAACGAAAAGTGAAGGTCAGCTATGGCTGAGCACACGCATTGTCGTGTTTCCGTCTCCGGTCCCTGCTATCAGCGCTCCTGATAAGAGGCGTAGCGAGCTGCCGTGCCGCGAAGAAGCAATTCGTCAGTCGCAAAATAAAGGTCGCTACCGACGGACGAGAACTTGTTTTCATCCGGGCACCCGCATGCACACAACAACTGGCGACGAGGATGGGATGAAAAGAGGGAGAGAAGGAGACGAGAGCGCGCGGGGACGTCAGAACGCCAAGCTCTGGCTGGAACGATTAGTGAGTAGATGCAAAGCCTGTCTCTACTCACCCTCTCGTCTCCTCCTACATATTCCTCAGTTTCTCGCCGCAAAAAGAAAGCCAAGTTTTTCATTGCGATGCTATGCAAGTTCACGCAGCTGTAATTTTATATCCAGAGATCTCATAAAAAAAAGATGCTTAGAAAGAGAAAAAAAAAATATTTGACAAATTATAGATTGTGTACCCCCCGGGAACTCAAGCACTTCTTGAACTTGTTTTCCTATGCCAAGTATAAGTGATACAATTTGAAAGATTTAAGTCACGTGACTATAGTCATAAACTTGTCAGTGTGACCTTCAGGAAATGCAACCTGAGGAACCACCAGAATTAAAACATACATTCACCGAAAGGGAGCACTTTTTTGTTTTATTTTCTTACGGAACGAACTCAAAAGGGAGAAAACGATCCTTGCGTTCCGTACTGTGCAGTATTCCTGGAATGACGGCATTGTGCTTCATTCGGTTCAAATAGAAACAAAAAAAGATAGGCCCGGGACTAAAAAACAAACAACATTAAAAACCCAAGCCTAACAGTACGAACATATTCGGCTGCTGCTACAATAATTCTCGTATTCCACCATCAGTGGAACGAAGATTAGGACATGACATGATTTAAACACGAAACAAGTGAGCATTGAAGAAAGTTATCAGAAGTGACATACTTGTGTAATGCTTCATCAGTTAACATTGGTTAGATAAAACTCAAGACAATTTCTTCCACCCACAAAGCATTTCATAGCTAAAAAATCAAACATACTCGACGATATCCCCATCAAACTAGTGTAGACCTGCGTGTTATTCTCTCAAAATGAAATGCACCGCTTGACACCAACAACCAAGGCAGACCCATGAGACCATAAGGACACGACACATTTTTCCACGTCCACAGATAGCAGTGAAAGGTGTAACAAAACTTAAATTAGATTGTGATAACGTGCACGCCCATCAGTTCAGCACCCGGTAGAGAGGCGTCTTGCTGAATGTCACCAGGGGAAGGCTCTGACGCAGTCCTTCTTGGTGCTGTACCTGAAATTCATGTTCACACGACTTAAGCTCATATCACTCATTTAATTGAGTGGGACACAGTGAGTTGAACTTAGAAGCTGCCACCGAAACTATTGCTCCAGTAAAGCTTTCGCCCCGTGTGATCTGGGCATATATAAGGCTCAGAATGTGCTGAATCAGTCTGAAAAATGTCCCAATATTATTAGCCACCGTTACCAAGACGTGCCATAAAAAAAAAACTGCATTGTACGTTTGTTTTTTTCAATACTGTATTTGCCAGTGCACCTCAAGTCCCTCTTTCATTACTGTGTTGTTCTATGCATTCTTTCGTGACCCTGCTTATGTGATTGTTTTTTTTTGTTAAAAACAAAAGATTGAATCTTTTATTTAATGCTTTTTCTCAACTAAAGCTCTCCAGTGCAATTCACCTGAATGTTATATTAGAGTTTATTTCTCTGTGCTGATTCAATGTTGATCTGTCTTTCTTTAATCCCATTCTTTGTTGACAAATTCTGCTAGAAAAGCTCTCCAATCAGATGTTGTCCTATTTTGAACTGGGTGCAGTCCCCATAAGACAACAATATCTTTGCACCCTCCCCAGCAATGCCAGAACCAATTTGATTACCGTATGAAACAAGAAACAACTGTGTGCTAGAATGTGATCATCTTTTGCATAATCTTCGGCAGTTTAGTTCGGTGCTTGACTCGGTACATAAGTGAGCACAGACAAAGTGATGATGCAGACATTGTAAAAGTAATTTTCAGCCCTGCAGAAAATTTTTTTCAGATTTACCTCTGTCAATTGCTCTTTGCTTCTCTTTCTTCAAATGCTGCAAGTCAGTAAACTAATTTTAGTGGGAAAACGAAGGGTTTCATACTCTCTGGTAGCATTCGGCCTCTAGAGGCAGAAACCGACTTACATTCTGCCTCCCATTTCCGCTTGCTTTCTCCTATTCTAAATTTTTTATTTCTTCTAAACTGAGGAAACAGATCAAAATGTGTTTCTCCCTGAAGCCTTCCTAGTGCCGGCTTTGTTTCAAGCATACTGTCCAAGTGATGCTTAGCAGAATTCGGTACAACTAGGGGACAGATCTTAACAAACAAAAGAACACCAAGCACATCCTAACATAGTCAGACAAAAATGAGATACAAATTTATTATTTTGAGGAGTAAGAATAGTAGATTCCTGATGAAAAAACAACAAGCAAATGTACCAGTTTCTGTGACAGCACTAAAAACTATCAACACCCAGGGTTCAAAGAAAAAATTAAAGCACATACGTATATAGATAGAATGAATTTCACAAAAATATTAACTAAAAATGCAGGGCACTATACTCCGTGGCACTAGTTGCGTGCAATGCAGGCGAAAACAACGCCAGGCGAAGAGAGGAAGTGCGAGCACTAGAAAGGTGGGATGGGAGAGGAGGGTAATGGAGGGCAAGGGGAGAAAGGGAGAGCACTAGGAATGTTAGAGAAAAGAGAAGGTTGCTCTCGTTTTCCCCACCCTTCCTAGTACTTTCCCTTTCTCGCCTCACCTGGCATTGGCTTCGCCTGTACTGTACGCAACTAGTGACACGGAGTATACTTTGAACGTGTCTTTGGCTCAAATTGAAAACTATGTCCTTCATGTAAGTGTGGCTTAAACAGATATCAGTCTGACAACAGTGATTCAGTCGGCAACAACAGAACTTACAAGAGCAAGCCATCTGGAGAGATGGTGGTACCGTTCCTTATCCCTGAAGGTCAATGACACCTGGCACGGAAAAGCAAGACAAAATTAAAATTAGAGCAAGTGAAAAGAAAATATTTAGATGACCAAAAAGCCAAGCCCAGGCCCTAGGAATGGTAGACAACAACTTTCTTGAGTGTGTATAGACAAATTTTCACACTACCATACATTGTTTACATATTCGACACAGGAACTTCAGAGCTGATACGTTAATAACGAAGCTACTACCCCAAGGACTCAGCGATTTTCGTCAACAGCTCTAATGGTCTTTTGTGGGGAAATCCGACGATTGCACCGGAGTTATACTTTGAAATATATTAACAGCAAAAGTAGGCATCTTGTGGGACCCTAACAAGGACTGCTTGCATGCATGCACACAGCAATAAGGAGAACAAGGATGCCTCAGCTTTACTTTAAGAATCTCTCCGAAGTCTTTGCAGAGTGTAATGTACACTTACGAAGTAGGAATGAAGACTGTAGTACATGAAAATGTCTGCCACAGTCAAGCCATTGCCCACGAAGTATGTCCGATCTCCCATGTAGCAGTTCAGTTCCTGAAATAAAGTGTCTGGGTGAAAAAAAGAAAGTCATCTTAAAGCCCACCTCAAAGGGGTGGTGCAAAGATTTTTTGGACTTTAGCCAATTAACTGCAAGAATTAATCTCCGTCACCTATAGAACAAAGAACAGAAAACCATGTTTTCCTGTGCACGCTAATATGTATTTAAAAAAATAAAAAATAAATAAACAAATGGAAGGTCAAAGTTCCCCTCAAATGTCACGCCATTTTTGAGTGACGTCTCTGGGGGACCACTTAGTTTCCCATTGGGTGCTCCCTCCGCCATTGTTGACTCTTCAAGGATTAGCATCGCCGAACGTCGCGGCGAGCGATCGACACAAGATGGTTCACCACGGGGCTGACGGCAAGTAGCAGCAGACGGGGACAGGTCCTGTCGACTTCCGTATGCAATCCAAAGACGTGTCACCGTAGTTACTGTAACCGCCACGCGCAGCTGCAGATCAGCAAATGATTCGATTTTCCTTTGCAATTACACAGCGAAATAGCAATTTTTCGGGGGAAAATGGCACATTTCTTCTCACTTGTGCCTAGATAAACAATATATAAAATACAGACTGCAAATTCTTTCAACGTCAGAATCGTTGCACTCCACCTGTCACCTTGAAATCAATCATTTGAATAAAGCGACCTCAAACTACCGAGAGCCGACTGTACCATAAATAAAGGCGTCGTGCCCAGTTCGTAGAAGCTTATTTTGTTTCACACTATTCGCAACTCCAACGCCCTATAGGTGGCAGGGCAGTAGTTCCAAGATGGCAGAAGAGACGGAGACAGATTCTCCAGGATTTCCGTGGGCCTGCTCGCTGACGCTGGTCAGTGTGCTAAAACGATTTATTTGTCTACAAACGCAAAACGGTTAGGAGAGGATCCTATTACAGGTGACGGAGATGCTGCTGCGCCTTAGGAAAACAAGCATGTTGATATCCAAAAGTTGCAGAAACCTCAACTTGTGAGGCTTTGTGGTGGGCAAGCGCGTTTTAGGAACCGTCCACGTCACTGTTCCTGGCAGAATATTTTTGAGGGTGATGAAAATATTTTGTTTGCGCTTTGCCTGGCCATTAATGCTAATAAAAAAAGTGACCCGCGCACGGTGACCGTCAAGCTCCGGAAGAGCAGCGTTCACAGTATTGATGCCTTCGTGTCACAGGCTCACAACTCGCTGCTCACCGTCTCGGTTTTAGTGTGTTGCAACACGTGATCTAACTGCTCTATGGTTATTGATAGGAAGTTTGTTACCGCAGGCTATCGTGCGGTGTAGCATTACAATAGAAAGCTCGCGCTGCGCCTTTGAAGCACAGTTTTCAGCGATCGCCAGGAGCGTTGCCGTGCTCACGATAGCCAACGGTAGGCTGCGGTAACGCTATCCTAAAACTGCTTATGAACATAATTGGTGTCCTTAGGGGTTTTATTTATTGCTCTATCAAAAACAAAATATTTCAATAGTGCACCGCACATTTTTTTGTACCGTGTTATTTGCAACGTTGCGGCCCTTGCCAAAACTGCCCGTCTAAGCTGTCGTCACGAACAGCTGGCTACGCATGCGCTTAAAATTCTCTTGTCATTTCTTATTTGCTTTGTGATGACCTGAAAGCAAGCACACGTATTTCGTCTTTTGAAAGTGCATGGAATAAATGGTCATGTTCCTTGTAACGGCCTTAAAACACGAACTCATTCCCGAAGTGTAGTGCTCGACATATCGTTGCACGACCAGTTTTCTCCTACTTAGGGCAACGAATAGACTTTTCGTAGACCGTACGCTACAGCTCTACATTACTAGCGAAAGCGTTTGCCGTCAGAGGAAGCACAGATTGAGCTGGCGACAACAAGACCAGAAATCCACAGCGTATGCGATATACGAAAGGTCCCTAATGAAATTAGACATCCCGGTCCTTCGTGCGACGCTGTTGCTAGGCGAAGCAATAATTCCTATTTTAACGCGCTTAGTTTTTTTCGTTAGAATGGCTTCACGCATCAAGGCCGACAGTCTCGGCCACCGCTTCTGCACCACCGCCGTCGCCGCCGCCGTCCCCGCTCCTCTGGTTCTCCGTTTGTCCGCGAGAGGGCGAGTGGCGGGCTGGAGTTGCAAATTGCTTTGAATGAGGTGACTCGTTATAAGCTAGAGGTTGGTGGTAGTCACCCTCAGAAAAATGCAGCTCGTCAAACACCAAATGGTTTACTTTCGTGCTGCTACAAACTAAATACATGTCTACAAACTACATCATTGCACAGCAGGGGGGGTAAAGACGAGAGAAGAACGCGGCAAATCGTAAGTGCTGACATCGGAGGTTCTGAGAAAAAAGAATGAGAAATAAAGCGACAGAACAACAGAAAAAGAAGTCGGACAGTAGGTTAGGCGACCTCGTTTCATCGCGACGAGCTCAAGTTGTTTGAGTGCTTGTCAACTTTGTATATCTTTATGCTATGTGCGACGCAGCTGCTTTCCTGCAAAGTAAGCCAGAATAGAGCTAGGCACAGACCTAACCGGTGATGCTTTGCTGCTTCATCGTGCATATTAAGGCACCGCCAGCAACATGGGCCTGTCGGGACCACCAATGTCCGCGCCTATTCCCCGGCGTTCCGAAGTGGCTGGAATGCTTGGGACGTTTCTCCCTAAATTATCATATTAAGAGGATATTGCAGCTGATTTAGAACTAAAATAGGAACATTCTACGAATTCAGGTGGCACTGAGGGTGATGCTTTCTTTCCCGTACGGACTGTGCTAGTTGCAAAAGAGTTCCTTCTTTCCTGATTAAAGATTATTCCATCAAAGATTCTTTCCATCAATAAATTTTAAAAAAGTCTTTTATCTTTGGACACTTGACCTAGAAACAAAAGGGCTGGATGCGGGGGTGGGGGGGTTGAGAAGATAATCTTATTTTTTTCGGATCGAGCAGAAAAAAAGACGAAGACTGCTGGAGGGGGAGGCATTGTGCCCTTTTGTCTGTTCCGTGTGTGTTTTGTGAGTTTGGGCAAGATGCATGGAAACAGATATCTTGTCGTAATACTAGCAGAGGTTTAGATTGCCCTGCACCCCAAAGCTCCACAGAACATATTTCTTTCTCACAAAGATCGTACTTCAAAGCTAGATGTAATCAAATCTTATTTATATTACCCAAATTACATGATGTACAAAACGCAAAAAAGAGATGTGGTCTTGACTGTTAAATTATATAACTTATAAAAGAAAAAAAAAGCCTTAGTTGCGTCATCTGAATTATATCATAGAGCACCGAAATTTCATTTTAGTTCCACGTTCGATTACGGAGCAGATGATACCAAGGGAGTCCTCAGCTAATCGCTGTTGCCTCAATAAAAGTGACTTCGAGCGCTGAATTTTTTCTTCTATGGCCACCAGGGTCCGTAAACTAATAATAAAATTCATGTGCAACCATAACCAAAGTCCAATACCAATGCGAAAACAAAAAAATACAGAAAAATCACTTACACACGGTGTTTATACATGTAAGCACCTCTTCCTATGACTGTACAATATTTTCTTGGTATTGGGGTTTAGTTGCGTTTGCGATTTGCCTGCGCTCTCATTCTTCATCCAGTTCACCAATACCGTGACAGGATGTTTTGAATGCTGAATTTTCACAATTATTTCTTACAGCTCCTGGACGCTGAAGCGCTTCGTGCAAGCTTTATTTTATTGTTTGCCGGTTTCCACGCAAAGCAGTGTCGCCTGCAGGTGATGATCGTTGCTGCCGCGCCTTACATATGTTACGATTTTTTCAGCTTTACAAAACAGTCCTAATGCTATATGGTGGGACATTTTGACACTCACTGCATGTTTTCATACACACATTGACAGCAATGAAGAACTCTAACCATACACAGTGACGAATCGGGACCAGGTCGCTTTACGCTCAAGTCCACGTAAGGACACGCCTCGTTTATATACACACAGAAGTGCGGAGCTTTGATGATGTCAAGCAGCCCCGACACATAGCTGCTGGGAAAAGAACCTGAAGAGAGGTTCATTTCCCTTTTGCACGTTGGATGAGCCCTATGACTCCCAAAAAGCTGCTTTCTCCAAGTCTTCTGGGAGACCAGTGTTGTGCTGTTGTCAAAGTCTTATGCGCGGCCGAAACGTCAGGACTCTGTATATTAAATTTATGATTATAGTTCTTAATTGCCATTTATGTCGCTTCTTGACCAGGCAGACAGCTGCCGAATCGTTATCTCAGTACACACATGTACGAAAATATGAGCAATCATACACACATGTACGAAAACATACGTATTTGTACAGGTATACAAAAAAACGTGCACTCAAACCGATAGAGACAGAAGTTGCTTTCAAAACAAAAATCACAATCATAGGCACAACATAGCTTTTCTAAATTTTTCTGTGAATATTTGCACTCTCCATAGACATTTGAAATATTTCTAGTTGAGAACTCTTCATGTGCTTGATATTCCCCAAGTGTGACAAAAGACATGCTTCTTTTTGGTGGTGTCAACACTGAAGCGGGAGGCGAGGGAGATTGCAGATGGTGATGCTATCAAAGGTTTATTTGGCAGAAATTAATTTTACAAACTGTGCACATCTAAATATTTGTACAAAGCTTGGGATTAGGACCTCATTAACGCGCGGTGAAGAGCTCGAGTCCATAGAAAAAGCCTGACACTTTCCCTCGCAGATCTCGAGCTTCTGTAGACGTTCATGTCCTTTATCTCTGGTCAAAAAAAGCCAATGACTTTAAACCTGAGTGGTGCCATGTGACGAACTTCCACCCCATGCGACAAACTTCCGCTTGAAAAAACGACGACTGCGTCATTTACTCGCAGCTCTGCCCACATCCCTAACTAAAACACAAACACAAAAAAATATATGATCTGTGAAGCACGCACCCTGAAACCTTGAATAAGACTGAAAAAACGGGGTCATGCGAGCAGTACGTCGCTGCGCACTAACACAAGATGACCGCGATTGTGAAATGACTGCGAAAAATTGCTCACAAATGGCGCCACGGAATAGAGGGTGAAATCCATCGAGAAAAGCAATTTTCAGGCTTTCACTGGAGTGCAAATTTGATCCTCCTATTCTCCTATTGAAATACATGGAGCAAAGATCTTGTTGGAGAAAGGTATGCTAAGAAATGACCTTCCACAATGCATTATCAAAAAATCTACAATACTCGCAGTCCGCTTTCTGCGACAGAGCGGTCAATGCTAGGGGAGAGGGTGCACCAACTGCTCTCTTTGGATTGCCACAGAAAGCTGACCGTGAGTATAGTGTCTCTGTTTTCTTCAGAATCGCTCAAGAATGGCAGGTTGAAAATAGGGGCAGTTTAAAAGAATTCAAACTCCTGTAGAAAATCTCTAGCCCCAAAACTGGGGAAAAGTGTGACCGCCCTACATATTGTTTTATTCTTTTTTTTAATAAAGCCATCTTGAAGTCTATTTGTTGAATGGTTGTTGAGCAATTGGATTAAAAAGTTGCCATTGGAAACACATAGGGAGGGTCTGGGGAGCTGCAATATGAGGTTGGATGGATGATAAAGGCTGTAGTACCCTTGGTAATGGGCGGTAGCTTGCGCCACCTAGCCTAAAAATAATAACAAAAACCTAATTTTTCCTTTCCAGCCAATGCGTTTCTCTAACTATCACGAGGTCATGAAGATGATCGCCAGGCAGACCTTTGGGGGATCAGGCAAAAAAACCCCAAAACATCCCCCCCCCCACCCCCGCCAAGGGAATCGCCAATTTTCCTCTGGTCGAACCTCGTCAGCTTCACTTAACACCCGACCCACGGGGGGGACAGGGTTGAGACTTTGGGCCCGAGCCGTGCGGGAGGGAGTCCAAATTTTCCTTTGTCCCGCCTATCCCTCAGCCGTGCAAGTTAGTTGCACTCAGTTGCATGGAGGCGGACAATGTTGCCAACACAGTCGCACACAACTGAATCCAATCCAATCCTTACCTGAAGAATTTCGTGCACTGCCTCTTGCGTCGGTACCACCTCGTCAAGGTGCAGTGCCCTGTATTCCAGCCACTGCTGGATCTCTGCCCGGTCCTGCGGAGTCTTTCCTGCCAAGGACACAGGAACCTTGTGAACTGTTGTTTCGAGAATGTCGACAGACTCTAATCTCACGTCCTACTGTAGTAAGGCAACAAAACCACCCTAAAAATAAGCAGTTAAAGTGCCTGCTTATTTGACCGAGTCACTCCCCTGCATCACTCAGGGAGGCTTGATCCAGTCAAAGGGAACGGTTCGGCATCTTCAGGCCACAGTCACCAAGAGCTTAAGAAACGCAGAGTGCGGCGGGCACCAAGCATCTTGTTTTCGGTCCGTGGCTATTGAGATTCCGATGTTAGTTAATAAGAACGAGGAAGAATAAACCACAAAACAAGAAGTGCGAACATAATAAGCCTCGCCCGCAATTCTTAAAGGGGCACTGACACCCCAAAAGTCGTATTTATTTTTATTGTCTAAAACAATGTAAGTTGCAGTCATAGACACGCAAAAAAAACCGCACCGCGAAAAAAAATTTTCCCGGGCCCGCGCGCGCCTTTTTATTTTTGGCGTTTGATTTTCCCGCTTCTCGCCTCCTCGCTTCTTTTGATCGGTGACGTCAAGAATCAGGAAATTTAGAAGCTTTGTAGGCGACATCTCTATAACATTTAATTACGGCAATCCTAAAACATGTTTTTTAACGCAATTGCGAACGCACTACGGCCCTTCTTTTTGAAATACCAAAAATCGGGAGTTCGTTGTGGTGCCGTCTCCTGGATTTGTATCCTCCAACGGAAAACAGGCGGCACCGCTCAAAACCGGTCCGCCGCAACGAGCCGGCGCTCGCTCCTTTCCTCCTCACATTGGGTCGCCATGGCAACAGCAGGGAGTGGAGAAAAAAAAGTGGACTCTCAGGTCTCACCAATTTTTGACGTCAAGGCACCGGCGCCGATCGCGCGGGAACTTCGAATTCGGCATTTGGAAATTGTTTTTTTACTTCACGAATACTGAATTCCCAAATTTCAAATTTTGAGGGTAATGTCCCGGCATCGTTTTCGATCGTTTCGGATAATAAAAAAAAATATGATTTTGATGTGTCAGTGCCCCTTTAAGCAGTCGTGACTATGGCCTGGTAACGAGCCTTACCCCTTGGGACCTTACCGCATCGCCACTTCGCCGCTCCAAATATTCGAGAACTGAGAATCTGCACTACATTATCCCTCTCGGACAATCTTGCCAACTCGACAATGGTGCGTAGCAGTGTTGTGGAATGGGCACCCCCCATTCCATTCCAATTCCATTCCGGGAATTAGAGTTTTCGATAATTCAATTTCTTTCAACTCCTAGGATTGGGGACACTGGGCCCATTCCCACTCCTGGAATGGCTGAATCGTTCCATTCCATTCCTCTAATTCCTAAGCGTAAAAATTGGGACTTGACAGCTACATTTCGCAATGCTTCCGGCGTAAGTAGCATACAGCTGACATTGTCAAACGCATAGACACTTGCAAAAAAAAAGAAGCTAAATGCTTCAAAAAAGCACTAATTTTACTAAGCTCACGGTGCTGGATTGCCTGGAGCGAGGCGTCCAGGAGGAGAGCCTGCGTACACTCAAAATGGGAGAGGGGACGCGGGCCTGTACCTTCCACTGCATTGCCAAGAAAAGTTGTCGCGGAGTATAGGAGTTTATTGAATTTAAGGTATCGACATTCACCGAAACAACATTAGTTAGCAACTTTTGTCGTGGAACAAATTAGTATTGCCACTTGCAAGGGAGCAAACGCCAAATACAGTTGAATCCATATAAATTGACACAAGCGCGCTTTCTTGAATCTAGCATACATCTACACCTGGATACCATTTATTTTTATTCCTGGAAAATAAAAAACACGGCAAGATTTAGCTCTGAATTTCAGAGAATCGGGAATGGAACAAAAACAGACTCCAATAAACTCTGAATTTTCGGCAAAAGATAAACTCCGAAAAACACAATCTGAATTTGACGAAAAATAAACTCCGAAAACACAGAATCCTAGTTTTAGCCTTATTATGTGCGAGCTAATCAATATTATTTCTTAATCTTTGTATATTTAATTGAGAGCCAACTGAAGGATTAGTGCTGTCACTGAGAGTTTAAAAAATGCAGGGCGTGGCCTCTTACGCTCCTTGCTTCGCAATTCGTTCATTGGCTTTTTTATTGGCTAATGACGCAAACTCACTGGCTGCAGGGCGATAATGAGATGCTGGAGCCTCACCCTGTTTCTTAGCCTGCCAGTGACTATAAATGATCTGTCCCCGACAGCGACCTTTTAGTTGACCACACCATTAGTGTACGACGTACATTATCAAATACCAGGTCGGGTAGATATTTCTACACGCGCTTTTGGTACTGTCAGAATGTACAGATATTGCCTCACCCCAAATTTCTTTGTCCTTGGCGGACTGTTCAGCAAAGTACCGGCTGATGGGAGCACAGCCCGTCAGTTCCTGCCCAGATTCTGTCGTCGTTTTCGGCACCTAAAACAAAATTTTGAAAGAAAGCGATATGTGTGTGTGTGTGTGTAAAATAAAGTTGACTAATTCACTTTACTTTTTTTTTCTTTTATTATTGTCTCGGCGGGGAAAGTTTTGAAGCGCCCAAGCCCACCATATGCCACCAGCCACGTTGCAAACTTCGTTTGACAGTAACCACGACTTGCTCCACAAGACAACATCGAGTATGCATAGCTTGCATGTGATGCCATTCGCGGCCATGCTAGACTTTTATGGGCCACGAGCGTTCGGTTCGCAGTGTTTCACATTGCGTTAATCGTAGTTCGAGGAAACCAGTAAGTAGAAATTACCGTCAGTACCCGGCAATTCAAGCTACGTATACACAATACCGGCTTCAATATGTGCGTTCCATCCACACCCCTGCCCGTTTCGATCTGGATTCCCCGCTATACACACACGACACAACTACAATTGTTTTTTTTTTTTTTTTTTTTTTTTTTTTTTTTTCTATGCGTCAAACCGTAAAGAGAATTATTTTAGTGCCACAAAAGACCTTGATTAGGCAAAGAGGGGGATGAGGGCTATGAATGGGCTAAACGCCTCGCCGCATCTGGGGATTTAGATAAAAGAAACAGTATTAACTAGTTCTGTAAAAAGAAAAAAAGTATAACGCGATAAACTCGACAAATTAGTAACAGATGGCGCTTACTTTCTTTTTTATCTGCAAATTTACGCTTTCCGGCTTGACGTCGAGGAACCGGAGAAACATGTCCATGTGAGCCGCCATCTTAAAAGAAATGATGTCACTTGCGTGTCGGCTGCCAGCCGTAACAAGTGTAACTTTGCGATCCGTGTTGGTGCAGCCGCAGGACAGATGCTCACTACAAGCTATACGGGGTAAGAAAATAAAACACGTAGCTTATTTTATAATGATGTAAAATAAAGTTTATTTAACTTTTTTGTTAATGTACAGGATAATAAATATAGCTACGAAAGTGCGGCGTCACGAATGTGTTGCTTAGCAACACGTTCTCACAAATGGCGGCTTCCTTAGCGCCGTCACTGTAGTTCTGAAAAGTGCATTCGGTATTACGCGCGTATTGTAGCTCTTTTACGAAAAACCTTATCCATAGAAAAAAAAATGTACTTAAATTGTATATGAGGAGGTGTTTTTCAACCTTGTCCTTCAATACAAAGCGGACAGGCCCTTAAAAGTCCAACATGCTCGACCCAGGTAAGCTCATCGTTAACTTCGCAGCACCTTGGACAAAACTTCACGATCGGGTATTTCACCAAACTTTGTGGCTTTGTGGTGTACGTTGATTTTACAATAGTTTATAAAGACAGTGTTTCTTCATTAAAACGCCTTTTTACGCTTTCTAGACGGCATAGTGGTGTTTATCAGCACAGAACAAAGCTTTCTAGGATGGTGCCAGCTGAATTCCACCACCAGCCGAACACCACCCAAGAATATAAACCAACTAGCTTAGCTCTAACCAAAGCTTTCTCTCAGCGCTAGAGCCTCTTTAGTAATGGCATTTTTAGACATAACACGGATGCTGCATAAACTGGTGGGAAGAGCACGGAAATAAGCCTGCTGGGGAGCCTTACTCAGGAAGTCTACATTTGGCTCAGAGACGCAGCACCTTCAGGCCTTTTGGCTCGTGGGGTTAAGCTGCTCCACCCAATGATGAACTGGAAACCTGATGAATTTAAGTGACAACACGTCGATTGCCAGTCTGACTGGTCGTAAGGTTTGTTTCCTTTAGTAGTAGTTCTAGCATTAATTCAGCCCCACAAATTGTGGAACTTTAAGATGATCTGTTCTGCTTTTTAAAGCATGGAACTCTTTACACTGGAAACCCGTACTCCCTGAGATTGGTCTGTCCGCGCATGCGCCACGGCACATGACGTGACGTGATACAGTGGCGTCAGAGTATCACGTGACGTCTGGTCATGTTACGTTACGTGACTTCAGGTTGCATGACGTATGTTGTTACGTGACCAGCTGCGTGACCTTATGGTAATCTGACATGGCGTAACCTAACGTAACCTGATGCCTCTCACATCAGGTTACGTGACGTTGCGGCGTCATGTTATGTGACACCGCGTCACTAAATGTCTTCGGTGCAACGGGACACTATAGCGTAACGCAACATTTAATGGTCTGCCAATTTCTTTTCATTTCCCTCAAAGCACAAGTGTTCCTCGACAACTTGTCTTTTATGCCTTCGTCTCCACAGTGTCTGTCCTGTGGTTGGTGGCCGTTGCAGCGCTGTGGGGCTTCTCGACACCTCTCCTTCGACGAGGCAGTAAAGGCATGGAAGACATCAAGCGGTCTGGCGCCCTCAACCAGTGGTTCGCCGAAATCAAGTTTCTGGCAACCAAACCACAAGTATGTGATTTCATTCTTTTATCATGCTTTCCTTGCTCACAGGGGGATTGGTGGCCGAGTGTGCTACTGCGCCGTATCTCGGAGGGAGTGGAGCGAAAATTCATGCTGCAGATCCCGGGGAGCCTGGGTTCAATCCCCACTCTTGCATGCCCATTTCTATCTGGATGAGTATTGTACCGGCGTGCAGTCGTGTATCACTACTGTGCGGTGCACGTTAAAGACCCTGGGCTGGCGGTTGTACCACTCTGGCTAAATTGCTCATCTACTGCTGAGACACCAGACGCCCACTGGGACTGACTAGTTTCCAGCTGTATAAATAAGTATACATGCAATGCAATTACTTGAGATGCCTTTGGCCACAAATGATTCATATGCTTCATATGCAGTTAAGCTGACACAACTGGGGAAGCCACATGCTTGCTGGGACAATAAACCACCTGGTCCCTCTCTATTGCACACAAGTATACGCACAGAAAGCGTGATTGCTCTAACCAGACCTCTCGGCGCATTGGTTGCTTTTCGTCGTGGTAAAAGCTGGCAAAAATCGTAAAGCTCGAAACACTGTGCAGCTCAAAATTGCAAATGTTTCCATTGAATTCTCCTAGCAGTCAGTGTTTCTCTGTTAAAACCCACAGCTAGTTGGGGGGGGGATGAGGTAGACATCGCTGGATGTCGGTAAGCTGTGGAAGGGGTGGTGTAGGAGGTGTGAAAGGAGGATTGGTCATAAATATTACTGACCGTTAGACATCATAACCAGTGAGTCCACAACTGCTCGTTCGCAATGTTCGCAGAGATCCCCAACGAGATTCTAACTCTCATTTTCTCCTACCTTCCTACCAAGGATAAGGTTACTATGGTTCGCGTGTGTAAACGGTGGGCATCGATCCTGGACAACAATCAACTCTGGAAATTGGATTTCGCCAAGATTGGACCCTTCAACGCCGTCGTGAAGGATTCCATTTGTCGCCAGGGAATTACCAGCGTCAAAATTGGCCAAGACTTCGACACTGAGATGCTCCCACCAAAGGTGCGTCGAATCCTGTGTACCCATATTTGGAGTTTGAACGATTTGATGACGAGCTCAGACGTGGACTTGAGTGAAGTGCATACATTGATCCTCAACGACCCCTACATCATCAGCTACAAGTTAGAAAAAGTGTTCAAGAAGTTTCCACGACTAGTGACTCTGACATTGCTTAATGCAGAAATCATCTCACCCAAGACCTTCCAATTCATCATGGCGCAGAAGACCATCAGATATCTCACAATTGAGACATATTGGATGCATCTCGTTGAAGTGAGGGAACTCTTCTTGAGTGACTTTGTAACCCAACTCAGGTTCCTATCGATCTCGCGTCTCAACGAGTTCGATCACGAGTTGTACGAACAGCTTCTTAGGCGTTGTAGATTTTTAAAAACTTTGGAACTTGAATTGACCCGTGGCTTTACATTTACGGCGTTAAAAACGATACTCACCCATGGAAAGCATCTAAAAACTCTGCGAATCAAAGTCGTCAGTCTCAGACAAATAATGACAGTGGAACAAATGTTGTTCAACTGTTTTCAAGTGACGCCGAGACGCTTTAGAAACAAGACTACGATAATACAGACCGTTCGTCCAGATGGTTCAGTGAAGACCATCAAGCTTTGAAATTGTATAAGGAAAACAAAAATGAAATGACTTACCTGTGATGTGACGCGATACGAATAAATGATTTTGCACAGAAACGAGATGGTTTGTGCGATTACATATTTTTATTTTATTATGGTCAGCACTTTTTAATATCGGACAATTTAAGATAAGAAATAATTTTAAATAAACAACCATGATTCAGACTGTCGATCTGTACAACACGAGATTCTAATAGAGAATAACACACAATTTTTATACAAATATTTGCAAGTTTAAAAAAATTATACATTAGATAATTGTTTGCTCGATTTTGCATATGAGAAAAACTGTTATTTGTAATTATTTTATTCGCAAATTTGACAAAAGAATCGCTATACCTTATTTTTTCGTAAAGAACTACCGCGTCGTATGTGACAAACGCTGGTGGATCCATGAGAAATTCCATTACACGATTACGCAATGATAGATTTCTTCTCATTGCTTCTCTTATGCGAAAAACAGAGTCAAAACTATCCACATGCGTCAAACCTATACCAAATACATCCATTTTTAAGAGAGTCGTATTATTCTCTATCGCATCTAATAAATGGCCAATATCTGGACACGCATCAGCAACCATTATACTGGAAAGTTTATTTAAAACAGTGTTATTATTTACGATGTTTATTAAAGATTGCAGAGTGTCTTCCGATTGCAAGATATATGGCATATTAAAATTTTTTATACTTTTGCTTTTTTCTAGACCATTCATTATTGGAATTATGAATTCGATTCGGAAATTAAAGCACAAATTAACACTTTTTAAACTTGAACTATTTCGTAAAATTGTAGGTATGGCTTCGGCAGACATATTTAGGTCAATGTGAGAAAATGTCTTAACACACAAATCTTTTAAAAATGGTGCATTTTGTAGAGATCTAAACAATGCAGCAATACAATCGTCAGTACATATCATGGACGACACACACACACTTGTAATAGTATTTATATTATTTGTAATATATTGCGAATATGCAAACAACTCTTGCGTCTCGTACGAAACTAAACATACACGAGAATATGCTTGTCCGTCGCATAAGGCTCTTTGTATACTTTCGGTCATAGGATCTATATTAAAGGACAATTTATTTAGAGTCTTATTTGTAGTGAGAGTCTCAATCATACATACGATACCATCGGCTTCTATACTGGTGAAACCAAATCCTAACCTACGAAGACTTTTGTTACGTTTTAATGATTCTGAAAGTGAGATGGCCGAACTTAAATTCAGAAACATGCAATTGATTTCAAGAACCTCGAGAAACCTATTTATCTTCAATAACTTTGCAATCTGTTTAAATACACTTCGTGAAATCTCCATGTCTCCGAAGGTAAGAGTAACGATGCTTTCATTATTAAATAAACTCTTTATTAAAGTAAGGTGTGCACTCGTATCTAAATCGCAGAAGAGTACCCCTAATTTCTTAATAGTACGGTTGTTTCCAATATTCCGAAATATGCTAATCATATCGTTCAAATGTGTTTCTTCTACTTTGATAAAAAGGATTTCTCGAAGTTGACAATGTTCGCTTATTAAAAATTTTCCAAATTTATCAGCAGATACTTTGTTAAGAATGTTTGAATTGTATTTTAAAGAAACGAGTTCCTTCTTTTCACACAAAACATTCATTAATTCTACGACACTATTTTCCGACAAATCACTGCTAATTATATCTAACGACTTCAATGGCTGACGCTGCAACATTTGGACGAATTGCATTTGCAGATTTGAAGGAACGTTTAGTTGAAAGAAATGCAATGTTTCAAATTTCGAGTTGCAAAGGCAAAGGGCTTTTAACAATTGGATACGCATATTTACGAATGCATTTAAATCCAAATCTATACATATATGCATATTACGAAGTCCACGACTCAAAGAAATCCCATCACAAATTATCTTTGTATAAGCGTGTACAAGTACATTTTTGCTTAGCTCAATCGATTCGATACAATGATGAATACGAAGTAGCAGATGCATCGCAAGGCACGCTAGTAAAACACCGCAATCGTCCATACCAATGGAGATATCCATGTTGTACAATCCAAAAGCATGCGGTCGATGTTCTTTGAGTTCCAGATTAATATGCAATAACAGAGAATTGAAGATACTTGTGTTTTCCGAAAGCCAGCAGAAGTTGTTGGCCGTTGACTTGTTGCACGTTGTAAATGCGTCCACAGGCACAGTGTCCAGTGCATTCGTCATACGTCGCAATTCACTTGTTAAAACTGCGACGGTTGGTATGCTAGTAGACTTTTCATATTCTTCGGACAGTCTTGGATTTGGCAAGGATCTTAGTCTACGATTTGTCCACAAATGCCAACTGTGCATCCATGGGTCCATCTTGTTTCTCATCCGTTACTGGTGTGGTGGTGGGATCTCTTATATAGGCGATACCCTCTCCCTCACATTGTTTTTCCACTTTATAAACATAACAAACTACCCTCACCAAACCCCACTCTCCATTTGAACACATACATTCTTCCATCTCATACATTTCGTCAAGTTTCCACGTTTTATAAAAATATAAACTTTACGGGGCTGTCCATTCGTCGAGAGAAAATAACAATACATTAAGGATTTTATGCGTATAGAATCTTTCTCAAAGTTTTTCACGTAAAAACAAATATACGTCATATATGGACCTAGATTCGTCATCATGTTGTTAAAGTGTGTAATCGTTAATTCACGTGAATAGTCTAATTCCAACTTGACCAGCCGTTTACACTTCCGTAAAACGTTTGCATAGAGATGTTGACGTGTTAGCCAAAGATTTCGCAGTGTGAGTTTCGTCAAACGATGAGCCATGTCACTTTTCAAAATGATTTCAATGTCAGCTTCGGTAAAACGTACGTGATCGAGTTGAAGTATTCTCAATTTTTTAAGACCCTTTACGATAGAATACATTGCATTAGACGACACTCGAGATGCAAACATTAGAGTCAATTTTTCAAGTTGTGACATTTTATGCACTAGATATTCCATATCCACGTTTTTCATTTGTGAGCAATCGTCGATGCATAAACTTCTCACCTTCGTCGTTTGTGTTCTAGATTGTAGAAGTGGACGTAAGCGTTCGTAAGTTGCACACTTTACGTATTCCGTTTTGGGCCGAAACATTCTGAAGTCGAAGTCTTCGGTGAGATGTAAACGTCGAACGTCTCGTAGAACGATCCATCTTTTGAAATTGGAGTCGTATTCACCGACACAGGCCACAGCCTTTGTCCAAAGACATTTGCAGATGACGATATCGGACCAAGAGCTACAGACCTTAGACACGAGATATTTCTCAAACGTTGTTAAAAACGAGAAAATGTGAACCACAATTTCTGTTGGCAAACGCTCCATGGTATTCCAGTTGGACGACTGAGGGGTTTCGGAAAAAATAGCGCCTGTGTCCTAATGAAGGAGTGAGAGAGGGATGTGGGTGGTGTTGTGGGGGAGGGTGTGAATGTTTAACATAAATGGAGGCGTGGTCAGTTGGTCAAGCGAATTTTTTTATTTTTGTGATCAAAGTGCGAGTGTTTTTCCATTATTTGAATAGTACATAATACGGAAAACTAATTGGCGACTCTGTCCTCTACCTTTCTTACAAAGATATTTTCTATAATCCTGAATATATGCAATCAATACATTCTCTTCAAATATGAGATTGATATTAATTACAAAACTTTCTAAATAGCAAAGAGCGTCTACTATTTGCTGAAACAAGTGACAATTCCATTTGTAACAAAATGACATTTCAATCTCTTTTAAGAATTTGCACTTGTGAATTAACAATACAAGCTGGTGAAAATCAACATTCCACATTTGACTCATGCATAATTTGGAAATGAGATGCGACTTTCCATTGTTTAAGAAAAATTGCATGCCGTCCATAGTAATGTTCACACATTGATTAACATTCAAAGATGTCACAGTCAAGTAATACGCAATTCTGCGCATAGCTGCATCCGATAAACGTACACACTGTTCCACATTCAAATTAGTAATGTTTGGGGCGATGAGAAAAATTTTTTCCAAATCCATGTCGGTTAAATCAAAACAACCAGACACGTTTAAACACTTCAGAGTTCGTAGTACATTCTTCTTACACTGTAACAATGTCACGACAGTAGAGTAGCGTCTTCCACAGTCGATGTCAACGATGTTGAATGGAATCATCCGGTAGTCGAATCCATTGCACAGGTGGACTTTGGATACTTTTCTTCGAACGATGGTCTCGAAGCATGTTGCATTGTAGTCTCCAATGTATGCGACACTGTTCCTTTGCCAGAGCACAGGTAAGTCGACGACACAATACCATTTTTTACACACCGTTGCCACAACAGCTTTTTCCTCTTGTGTAAGGAAATGAAATATCGTAACGAGTATTTCGTTTGGCAACGAAGAAATGGTAGACATCGCTTGGCTTGAGAGGTGGGTAGGCCGTGTAGTCGGTTGATGTTTCCGTTTTCAGAATCGGAATAGATGTTCTTTTCTGTCGGCTTTGCTTGTATATCTAATCACCAAATCCCGAAATCTATCTGCAGGACGTAAAATATAGTATAAATCATCTGCAACAACTCTTAAAGACCCAGACATATCTAAATAGATCAAATTTCTGTAATAAAATGCGATATAGAAGAGAACAGTTCTAGTGATAGATTTACAATTACTGAAAGTCAATATTTCCAAAGGAAGCATGGTCCTCAAGATATTTGAAATAACATCATCTCGTACTGTCACAATATTGTCAATGTGTAGAATTCGCAGTTTATGAAATCGATTTCTATTAAGTGCTGGATCAATGGCAGCCAAGTGTTTTAATCCTTCGTTTGTAAGATTATTACAACCACTCAGGTCTAGTAATTCTAACTTTGGAAGAAATAATGCAATGTTTAGTAAAGTAATATCAGTTACAAATTTACAGTTATGCAAACTTAGACTAATTAAAGTTCCTGATAAACAATCTATAGCTCTCGATATAACATAGTCGTTTAGTCTATTACAATTCTGGAAACTTAAAAGTTTTACACGAGGGTGTTTGTGCACAAACAATTGGCAAACACCTACACAGCTATTGGTATGTATATTTAAACCTTTAAATTCCTTTTCGCGATGGAGTAAGTATTTATATCGGCAAGATGATAGACGGATGCTATTTCGTTATGCCAAAAAATGCGAGGACTATTTTCCAAAAGCTCGTTCCATAATTTGCATACACGTAAAGCCTTAAACTTTGATTTATAGTCTAAATACTTTAAAATTTTTTCCCAAATCTCTGGCGGAAGTTTATGAATATGGGATACGTTTCTAGGCGATCTTCTTAAAGCAACTTTCATACGTCTCGGCATGTTTGAAAAGAAGGCAACTGTTCGCTTTGATAAGAAATAGAAGAGTGTTGTTGCAGGTGGTGGTAAGGTCCATTTATACACACTGGTTATTTTTGTCATTTATCTATTTCAAAAAAAAATGAGAAAGGGAATCGCGCTCGTCGTCCAATCGCGATTCGGCTCCTCCCAAACTCCTCTGTGATGGAAATTACAATAAACACCCAAAGTCGCCACCTTTTCCATTCTTATTTGTTTACTATAAGTAATAAAAACTGTATATCTGAAAATTACATGCATTCTAGGTCTAATATCGATATATATTAATACACAACAAAGATGTACATCCACTTTGCCGATACGTGTACAGTTAACATAACTTCGCTTTTACTTTACGAACGCAATCAATGTCCAGATACACAATATATTTGTGATTTATTTAACGAAGATAATAAATTAACTCTCTCGAAGAATTTCGTTTCGGTATTGGCAATATCGAATCCATTTGAGGCCGAAAGTTATCGATTTGTATTACATGCCGAACCTTTGCGCATATGGAAGAACGACGATACTCCCGTACATATTGGCGAATTGACAGAAAAAGACTTCCGTTTGGAGAACGATGTGTATGAAATGGATGGCGATGCCATAGTCCAGATTTCTCCTGATACAAGTGGAGTTGTGCAAGGTGGATACGTATATGTCATCGATGGTCAAAGTGGGCGATATCTGTGTACTTTAGACTATTTATATTGTTTGTATAATAATATAGGTGATATGGAAGAGCGTAATCCATTTTCCATTTCCCAGGTAACTGGCAAGCGACCTGTAAGTCGTGCTATTTCTAATGGTTTATATTGGCAAAAATTAATAACGAGTGAAAAGATTGACAGTACATTATATTATTCGGACCAAGTAGGTAATCGTTACGCAGAATATAAAGATTCGTTATATTTTAGCGTTGGAAAGTACATACCTTGCAATTATGCATATGATTTTGGAGTCGCCTTGGCGTATGTGATTGACGAAGCCTTCGATCTACTTGACGGTGCCAGTCGCTGTAATTGTGAAAATGAATATTTTAAATTATTTGGGTCGGAAAATACTTCAATTAATGCTCATTACACCTTATGGTGCATAACTCGCCGACAATTAAATAACGATATCATTCAAAACGCAATGTGTCTTTACTTCACTCCTTCTGTATATAACGAAGTGATGCAAAAAATAGAAGACTACAAACTACCATCTGGGCCGAGCGACGAAGAGAAGGAAATATTTGTTTTTAACGACGTAGAGAAAACGGTACTTTATCCACGCATTTACCCATTTGCTACAAAAATAAATTCTTTCGTTACTGAACCTTCGCATGTTACGAACGGTAGGGAATTGCGAACATCAAAGAAGGCAATCGCTTACTTGAATTCGGATGTAGAGGGGAAAATGATGAATAACCCGAAGGGACCCATTTCTCTCAAAATAGCTAAACGCGTTTTTACCACACTTGCCGACGATTTATTGCACTATTTGTACACACCATCCAGCGATGTGTTTTCAAAACGTGGAGTTAATACCCAACCTGTAATTCGAATCGATGGTGACCACCTATATCTCCATGTAACACACGAGTGTGACGAATGGGACGAAAGTCCCAAAAGTGCGATGTTACTTCTATGTAGACATGCTCAAAAAGAGGTCATTACAAAATATAACGATCCAGTGGAACCTTTGAATGATTTGTTGTTCGAGAAGTTCGAAAACGTAAAGAAGAGTCACATTTGGAATTCCGTGTTTAATTACGCAATTGTTCATTATCGAACCATGTTGTTTAAAACTATTATAGTTGCATGTACACGGATGCATTACATTTATGTAAGAAATAACAAAACGAGCCAGTACAAGATGGGTGTCAATATCGATTACAAAATGCGATCTCATGCGGTATGTACTCTTCAAGCCATATTCAATAATAAATTGTACTTTACCCAACCTTCTAAGGCAATTAAAGTTTGAATAAAAAAAAATTGTCATCATATATCGTGTTTTCGTGTCTGTATAAGATTTTTTGTCATTGATAGTATGTGATAGATATTAGAAACGTTATGCTAATCTATAAATTATTAAAACAGAAAAAACATGAATTTGTGAAATTCAAAATAGTTTTCTTTTCTATAAAGAACTGCGAATACAAAATATATTTTGTGATTACAAAATAGCATATGCCATAATGACAATTTTGATTAACGATATTAATATAGATTGTCTTTTAAAATTCGAAAACGGTACTTCCATTTCAGCTACTAAAGTAATTCAAATATTTGGCCAATCGAGGGTAATACACATAGATACTCCTTTTAAAGTTGACAAACTGAGTTTCGTTTTACATGGGAAGCCTTTGAAAATAACAAAATTAGTTCACGATTTGAAATGTATTGTTCACGTTGGTGATTTGCTTGCAGAAAACGTTACACTCGAAAATGCATATTTTAACGTGACAGAGTATAAACCGATTCACATTGCAGACGATGCAAATGGATCGACAGAAGGTGGCTATGTTTACGTTATTGATGGTGACAGTGGGAAATATTTATGTACTTTGGATTATCTGTATTGCATCTGTCATGGTATAGATGTGAATGGCCGAAATCCATTTTCTACGAGTAGTGCTACCGGAACGAGGCCTCTAAGTTACGCAATTTCGAATGGGCTGTATTGGCAGCACATAATTAACAACGGTGTACCTCGAATGCGACAGAATTTATATTATTCTGACGTAGTTGGTAGTGAATATTTTAATAGAAAGAAATCGCTTTATACAAATATGCAATCTTACGTAGATGATTATGAAGCATATATGTTTGGTGTAGCAATGGCGTACGTCGTAGATGAAGCTTGCGATGAAATCGATTCCAAGGGTAGGTGTTTTAAAGAGGTACATTACGCTGAATTGTGGGGTGAGAAAACTTCTTTTAATGCACATTCATTCCTTTGGTCGATTGCTGATAAAAGGCGGCATTGCCAAATGATTCAAACTGC